CGTGTGCTCTTCCGATCTCTGTTTAAACCTTTATTGAAGAACCATGTCTTTTGAGAGTCGCTTAAATAAAGCTCAGAGTATTGCGTGCCTTTGACAAAGGATGTTTCTTCCAGATAGTGTTTGTAAGCGTTTACTCGATGCAATTTTGCCTCAACTTGAAAATCGGTGAATGGGACTTGGAACGTGGGTTTAGCGCCCCTTGACGTGGCCCATTTCGCAAGGCGGTCCGCTTTCTCGTTGCCGGGGATCCCTTTGTGTGCCGGAACCCAGCAGAGAACGATTTTCCTCCCTTCTCTTTCAGCAGCAATGAGTTTTTTCTTGATTTGATGTATTAGGTAGTTTCCTTGCTTGTGATCCGAAGAGGCGAGAGCCATTAGCACACTTCTGGAGTCTGTGAAGACATTAATGTTGCCGTGGTAACACGGAAAGAAATGGGTCATGAGATATAAACGTAGCACGTAGTCGGGAATTCTCACGAGGTTCTCGTGAATTAAGCCCCTACAAGCAAAGAGGCGCAGCTCAGGTCGTTAAGTTGACGGGCAGTACGGATATCCCTTCGCAAAAAAACGATAAGACCACGACCTTACCGAAACGTTAAATAAAATAATCGCGAAGACTAAAGGAAGGTAAACGTTCGCGCACCTTAGAATCAAAAGGCAATCTAATTGGGTCATCCTCTTTTTTCCTCTTTTTTTAAAGAGAATAAAGCTTTTTTTAAAGAAGCTATAAAAGTGATTATCTGTGACTGAGAGAAAATAAAATTATGTCATCACTTGTCAGTTGCCAAAGAACATTCATTAGAGCCAGTTTTTTTTTAGCTCCTCGAGTTTTTCAAAATTACCTATAACTCTGTCACATGTATACGAAAAGAACGATTTTGTTGAAAGGTCTAAAAATTTTGCTGAAAACAGATCTAAAAATAATTTTTTGTTAAATCATCAAAATAATAATTTGTTCGAATGTTAAAACTGATAAGTATTGCTATAAAACATTTTGATATTCCAGCAATCATTTTGACTTTCAAAATTATTTTGATTATTGAACAAAAATTATTTTCAGATCTGGATTCCGCAAAATTGTTCTTTCCGTGTATGACAGACAGTAACAAGTTTCAAAGTAATGAATCAACTCAAGATCTCTCCGAACGTCTTTAGCTTTCCAAATATATACTAACGGCTAATTCCCCCGTGATATTTCACCGCGATGATTGGATGACGCGAGATGATCATCGCTTAATCGAGCTTTAACGCTAATTAATTAGCGCCTGTCTTCTGTCTCATGCTCGCGCGAAATTAGCATTTGTCGCTTTGCGCGACGTACACACGGGGACATGAATACTTTAACATTTGAAGTTACACGATGAGAGAAGAACGCGTTTCTCATTAAAACGCGTTTCTCATTAGAACGCGCTCTGAAGACGCGTTTCTGATTGGAACACGCTCAATACGTGCAACTTCAAGCGTTAAGGCATTCCTGTCCCCGTCGTACATTGATAGATGGTGAAGAATAGGCTATTGGGAATCAGAGCAATTGAATGCTTTTCTCCGCTCGCGTTATAATGACCTATATATATAATATATATATATATATATAATATATATATATATGTATAACTTTGTTTCGTAATTAAATTTATCACTAATCGACTATGCCCATCAACTTGGGCTAAACTTCCAGCTTGAAATACTTAATAATAACTAGTAACAAAGCCTCTCACATTAAAGTTCATTTAAAGTAAAAGCCATTGAAATTAGCTTGAAATGAAGACTTTTACTCGATTTATACTCTTCCAAGACTTTACTTCGCTAAATAAATTCTAAACTAGTGAAATTATACTATATTCTCAACATTGTTGATATTTCGACACCGAAACTATCCCTCTAATTCTGACAGTTATAATCGTTTTAATATTATATCTTAGAGAGTCATTATAAAATACTGAATAAGACAGAAGTTCAACTACACCTCATTAAATTGCAATTTGTACCTCACGTGTTAGCAATTAATATAGCGTATAGGATTATTATTATTAGAAATGTAACGTTTCATATATCTACTTCATTTTTTTCATATGCCAATTTTTAGCAAATTTTTTATCGCTATGTATATCATTTAAACACATCAACAGAAATATCCGAAGCTGAATCCGCAGGATTTAAATATCGCGATGTTCTGCCATTAATACGTAAGCACTTCCCGTTCCGGTGAGCACCGCATTTTTCTCGAATCTTATATTAAGTATGAAAGATGGGACGTTCGTAAGATGGCGGAATTCTGTCCTAAATCCCGGACCATAGCTATGCGGATGATACATATCGTTTTCCCGTGGCGATAAAGTTTTCGAAATCGTAAATGCACAACTGCATCCTTTCTTCATGTGTTTTACAAGCGATCTTTTTCTCGAACTCAAAAATTTAAACTTACGTATTTGAAGAAGAAATTACAATTATTTATATTTATGTACGAACAAACATTTTAATGTCACAAGGAAAAATTGTGCATATATAATTTAGTTATTTTCGATATAAATTAATTTTTTAGCATAAATATGAAGATTTCAAAATATTTTCAACTGTAGTAATTTAGAGAACATATTAACAAACCAACGTGCGCATATTTTATATACAGAATGACATGATTAATAAAAAAAAATTCAGTTTTGAAATTAAAAAGAATATTTATGTAATAAGAGATAATTGTAATTTTCCTCTCCCTTTTAAAGGTAACTTTGTTGGAGAATTAATAGTATAATAGTGAAATCTCCCAGAAGCGTTATTAAGCAACTTAATCAACTTAAGCTTATTCTGAAATCCGCCCAATTACGGTTCTTAAATTGGCGCTCTACCTTATCTCTAAATACATTTGTGAGCCTCATCTATATTGTAATGTACATATATAATGGATTATAACAACCCCAAATATATATTTGACTTTAGGATTATTATACATGTATATTATTGTACTATATTTCATACGAAGACAACAAACTCGCATACACGATGTAGAGTTTTGCCTAATTGAAAAAAAATGTGAGTCTCTTTGTTTTAATTATCTCATAAATTTTCAATCAACTATTCGATTTAACGTAGCAACGATATGGAAGATTCTTTCATCAAAACTCAATACTGTCGTAACTAACTTTGCGTTTAAGTTAAAGCATTGTGTACAATAATTAGCAGTACTGCAACGGACAAAATTATTATTTCCTTTATTTATACAATACATTACTCGATCACTGTACATTTAATTTCATTCCGTCGTTTCATTAAATCATCATTTTAATAGACCTTCCGAAATTGAGGTTTCGGCCGTCTATGCAGTACTGCGTCCGATCGAGTTGTGATAGAGCGAGCATGCATTTACCTACAAGGGGAAATAAGCGGTTCCTTCGCCGTGTTCGTGTGACATATTCGGCAGACGCTGGACCCGACCGAGATCAGGCTGCTGGTAAGCCGATGCTGTTGTCCAACGACCCCCGGAGACACTTGCTGCGTGTCGCGGCTATTTAAATTGCAGGCGGAGCCCTCGGGAGCCATGGCCGATGGTGGCATCGGCATGCTGCGCTCGTGATCCAAGTTAACTGTGGAACCAGCCAAAGAGAAGGACACACACCGCACGCGGTGCATATGCATGATCCACCACGTACTCGCGCTTATTTACACCCCATTCACCGCACCGCGCCGGCCGGATTTAAGCGTCTATTTTCTATACGAACCGATCGAAAATCTGATAATAGTTCGCGCCAGTGGTTGCCAACCCGCAAAGCTTTCGCGAAACTTCTACTGCAATTATTATCTCCCACACTTCCGAATTTAGAAAGGACAAAAGCTCGATTTTACCCAAATGTGGATTCTCACGTGCTTCGGCTAATAAAGACGACTTTAAAAGGAAAGAATGTTTATCCTAAAGATAAAAGAAGCGTCCGATTGTGAAAGCAAAATTAAAATTTTTCTTTTCACAAAAGAAGAATATCGTAGAAACTTGTCTGATTTATTGGATCATACTGTATTAAACGAAGCGCTAACTGTACGACTGAAAAATGATATTCTTTCCAATTGTCTGTTTAAAATTTTTAAAATTTTCTTTACTTTACTTTTACTTCTTTTTTCTAAGATTTATTTTTTAATTTTTCAATATATTTGAAAAACGAAATTAATACTATTTTGTACGCATTGCTTTAGCGATTTGAAGAGAAAGTTGTACATAACACGATGCATATGCATGAGCGATCACGGAAAAAGTTTCTGCATTCATTTATTCACTATCCAGATCTAAATCGAATTTATTTCAAGTTTTAACGTGAAATCTGTCGGTAGCTTATTGAATAAAGTTAGAATTGGCGAACATGTCGATGCATTGGTTTCAAAAGTTCAGGCATTCCATTACTAAGATAATCAGATATTTTATTTAATAAAAACCTTATTTTCTCTATCATCAAAATCAATTATTTATTTAAATGTCCAAACGATGTAACAGGATTCATTAATTATTTAAATTTCACTAATTTCCATTATGTCAAAAGTCGAATGCACTTGAAAATTTTGTTTCGCGTGCTCTAAATAATTTTCAACGCGTCTCATACAAATATTAATTAATTACAATTTTCATAATATTATTATCAACCCGTTCAATTTTAGTAAATTAAAATTAAATAACATCAAAGGATTAACTTCACAAATAAATTATACATCAATAACTTACAACCCAGTTCTCGCATTCATGTTTAAATTACTACATTCATTAGCTAGTCTTTCATACATTTTATTTCTCATAATTAAATAATTATAACAATGACTTCCACACGTTCGCCATTTATCTTGAATTGTCCTGTCCAAAAACTAATTGAATCAAATTTTCAAATTTATACTAAGGATTTGGTTGAATTTTCGTTCGCGAGATACGTTTAATTTCTCGCGAATTCGAAGACTTCCGGGAGATGCCGAGTGAGTGAAAATTTATATCATGCCCGGGTGTTCTCTTCTCTAACGAGGCGCAATCTCTCGAGCTCTTTGATACGAGGAAGTAGGATGCTCTCAAGTTTTTCCGTGACAATGGGACCGAACTTTAAACGAAGTCCCGCCGGCTGCGACAATATTCCAGATGAAGAATGCAAGCCGTATAGCGACGTCGCGACAGGCAAAACCTACCTACTTGCGTTTCCGACATCGCGAAAGTTTCCGTCGCGATACATAACCAACAATTTCCCGTGAAAGGGAGTCGTGCGTATGGTCGTGCTGAGTGCTCCGAAGTCCTTCCGATCCCGTAATTTCCGCAAAGTTTATTTTTTATGTAACGCGATGCCACCGAATGCAAATGTGGGGGCCGACCTAGAAGGTCGACGGAGGTAACTTTTTAACCTATCCGACGATGCTGACACATCGAACGCGAAATGATAATTTAGCTCGTTTTTCATCGTTATTTTTCTGTTTCCTCCAGCGAATCGATCGCGATAAATGAAAAACAGCGAGCAAACTTTAGCATCTCTTTTTCATATCGCGTTTCTATCATGAAAAAAAAATTTATATCGCATTTCTACAATAAAAAAAATATATTCTATATCGCGTTTCTACTGCGAAAAAGTTTTGTCAATATATTAATCCCGAAATATTTGATTAAAACTGAACATATTATCCGATGAATTCCTACGGAGATTAAAATATGTAAGAACTCTGCAGTGTATTAGAACATCCTGCGCACATGATACTATTGAGGAGACCTGCGAATTAATCTACCGGGTCTCATTTTCCACGGATCCCGAAATTAATCCTTGTGAACCTCTGGGACACGATCGGCCATAGAGATGCAAAATGCGTCTATACGTAGATTGTATATATACATGTATATATCGGCCGCGCGCGCCTATCAAAAATAAAATAACACTACAATAAAACATTAGCTGCAAAATTGAAAGCAAACTCCAGTCCGTTTGAAATCAAAGCCTGATTCCTGTTGTCGAACGAGTGAAAATGCATTTCAAACGCAAAATAAAAAATTTTCGTTCGCTGGTACGCCCTTCAATTTCGCCTTTCGTACGTAAACACTCGGCCGCCTGCACGGTCTGCTAACGGCTTTTTATTGGATCTCGAAACGAGATTCCTTTGAAGGAAAAAAATATATATAGTTTTGGAATAGACGTCGGAAGCACTGTAGTTAATCAATTTAAAAGCGCGTGCAGTTACATAAATAACTTAATAAAATTACATATAATTTCTTCTTTTATATGTATACAAGCTACTGGACGCTTATTTATGTTCCGAGAGAAAAATGTATTAACTGAGTGAAACGATATTTATTAATGGCTGTGATAGACTAAAAAAAAATAAAAGTGCGCTCTTACAAGATTGGATGGACCACTACGAAATCCTAAGAAATAATCTGCTAATATTTCATAAAATATACGACATACTTTTTCCTCAATATTCAAATGTCATGGTATAAGTAAAAAGTTGGTCCAAAAAATTAAAATATATAAGAGCTTTATATCAGTGTGCAATTTCTCTTAACATTGTTTAAACCCACATGCTAATTCTTAAATTCGACTTTCTGCCACTTCAAATCTTTTCGAGTATTCACTAATTATTCAACAGAATGAAATTGAGCTCAGGTAGTGTCAGTTAAAGGAATTGCATATTTTGCCCATTCCAAATTGAGATCTGGGGAAGAATGTCCTGAGATCGTGGCCCCCGTCATAAGATTATGAAGATTAATTAACTGCTGAAACTATGCTGTGCGCCAACGTCACTAAATTGAATCTCGGGCGGGTTCCTGATTTATGGCGCCACTGCATCGAAACTTTTTCCCGCGAAACGCCTGGATTTGCATTGCATTAAGATTCACGGTCTATCATTCGCGGAGAAAAAGAACCTGCCGTTTGTACTTAACTTCTTCCAACAGGCGTCCTTCGAGAGCAATCTCGACTTCATTTCCTTTTAATTTCGTCTGGTTGGAAATTCGTTTCAAAAAAAGTGTTAAATATAATGTTTAATATTAAATATTACTATTTATTTATATAGAATTTCAGTTATTTGTAAGAGATAAGAATATACTTTTTATTTAATATTTCTGATCTTTTTCATCAGAACAGTAAGAAAATGCACAAAATCTGTGACGCACGCTTTAATGCTTATCTATTTAAGATAGTGCTTTATTATCTAGCTATTTAACTATATCAACGTACAAAAGTTTTAATTAGAGATCACACGAAAGCTCTATCGGCAATAGAACTGCTAAAGCATTAATTGGGATTGGGATGCTAGGATTCATTCAATTTCATTACACGATTTAATTACCGTAATATGGTAATAATGTGCCTATTAATTACTTTTCACGTTCGGTACAAACTAATACGATACTCTAGTTCAATTTAATAAATGAAGCTTCGACGAAATACAAATGGAATAATTTATGGGAGGAAGTGTTATGGTGATGAACTCGTGTACATGTAGAGAATATGTATAAAATCACTCACAATTACGATAAACTTTGAAAGTTCGAAGAAAATTGTTTGTAATGCAACATTCAGCAAATACTTGAGTCAAGTGCCGCTCTTCAATCGCGAAAATATCAATTTATATATAAATTCTGTCTGTTATTTAATTTGTAAATGAATTTTATAGTCATCTTTTTTATTTCGGTACATCACATGACGATACATAATGCTCAAGTAATGGAGATGCATTAAGCTACAGTGACCGTTTCTTCATCGATCCTAGAAGATGGATGTGACGGTATTAAAGCAAAGGCACTTCCATCAAGCGTGCTCTTTTGTTGATCAAAGGTTAATAATAGACAAAAAAAAATGTAATCCGTACAGTATATCGCTGATTCTCAAAATAATATAACCGTATATTTCTAATTTGCAATGTACCTACCATTTATTCTTCTCATTGATAAAAATGGATTATTTAAGGATTCATCTGTTCACGATCATTTCAGGAAATAAATTTAGAACCAGAATATCTAAACGTGTCAACCGAGATAACGCCAATATCTATTTCATAAATTCATCTATATCCGACTAACAGGATGGTTGTTCTAATTTTATTCACAGATCGCGCAAAAACTAAAGCAAAAAATTCTGACGTTATCACAAAGTCGATCCAATAGTTTATTTTAAGAAGACTTAGGATATATATATATATATACTAGATGGTATACACATTGCAACAGAAAGAAGTTAATTGCAAAAATAAAACGCTTCGCCAATCCCAATATTTTCATTATTAATAAATAATGTTTGCTGATTTGCAAAGAATTGCGGAAAAAACTGTTTTTTAACTGGAAATGTTTTATCTCTATTATACACATATGCATTATATAAGAGACATAAAGCATTTCTAATATATGTTTTATAAATGCTATTAATTATATAATTATCATGTTATCAATACGTAACTTAATAAATCATTTACATCACACTCTCCATTGGCTGTCTATAAAACATGAAAGGAATAACAATGCTATGCCACTTTCATTGTTACTACTTGAGGAATTGTCGGCATTTCTCCCCACGAATCGAAAGAATGCTCGTATGTCTCCATAAAGATCGAGGATTCGAAAACGAAGATTTCCGCGTTTGTAGCTCACTCCCATTGATTCTGTCGCCTTTCCACCGCCGGCACTCAACGACATGCCGTCGTCCCCGACTGCATTTACCCGACATCGCCAGATATAACAGTTCGACCGAAGATTCCGCCGCGGAGAACTTTAAACCCCCTCGCAATCTGGATTTTGTTTTCGGCGCCGGCCGTGCAAAACGACACGCTGGGGAACCGCGAAAGTTTCCAGTCCACGAGACGCCACCCGTGAATTTTCTCTCCTGACGCAAATTTACCCCTTGCCAGCGACGCGCACTGACAGAAAAACAAGTACATTTTTCGTTCGATAGTTTCCGTAACTCAACGCAAGAGATACTCTATACCATATATTTTAAAAGAATGTGCATATCAATCGAAAGAGAAGATATATTAAGAAAGACAAAAGAGAAAGGCGAAAATTATGATACGATTAAGAATATTTCAAAAGAATTCAAATGTTCGACAAACTAGATATTTTTCATTCTTTTCTAATCAATACGGTTTTATATTTTTATATGATTCTACTTTTTCTTATTTCTTTTAACTCTTAAGATCTAATAATTATTTAAAATTTGCGATTTTAGTGTGTTGTATAGATAATTAACGAATTAATCATAAATTATAATTGCCAAATATTTTATATTGGAGATTTCATTCAAAATTCCTTTTAAAATATTAAAAAATTCGACGTAATAAAACTACATGTAATGCAAGAATAAAATTAGAAATTTTTAATTTGAAGTTACTCATATCAGAGTTTAATTTCGGAAGGGATTACATTTACTCCTCACACACAGAGCAAATATGTTACGAGCTAGGAAACGAAAAGTGGAACTGACATTTCTCAACTACAGGAAACAACGAAACACTCTGTATACGCACGCTCTCAGCTAAACGATTTCTCTTAATTTCGCGAGGCGACGCCCGTAAATAGAAAGCAAACAAACGGATAACAGTCTCGTCGCGGCCCGTCGGGCGAATTTAACGATGGGGCGCCACGCGAGTGGATATGTTAACTAGCTTTTTTTCCTCTTGTTTTTGCGTCGGTGCGAAGTGTAACACCAGTTTAACTAGATTCATCGCAATTTGCAAAAATAAAGCGGCGCAAATAAAACGTAATCGTAATAGTAGGTAGGAAAAACCAATGTTTGTCAAAAAATTAAAAAGAGAAAAATAAGCAAAATAAATGTAAATATATGTTGACAAAAGTTTGGTTTCCGAGAAACAGAAAGAGAAAGAGAGAAAATGTACAGAGAGATAAAATAATACATTAAAAAACCTTCTCAGATCTGCGCAACATATTTTCAACATTTTTTTTCATAATTTAAATAATAAAATAAATTTGATGTGAACAAATTACGTAAAAATAAAAAGCTGATATAATTTATGAACAAGTATTACAGATACATTTTTGTTCGGATTTTTTAATGGTATTATGCAGAGAGAGAGAGAGAGAGAGAGAGAGAGAGAGAATCCGTCTTAAATTTATGACGCCTATCTTTTTTATTACCGTATATACACGTGCATACACGGCGCACTTGTAGCATCAATACGTATAAAATAACATTTATTAAAGTCATAAAAAGGATCAATATGCCATACCGCTATACAATAAGCAATACATCGTGCGTATATATATGAGAAACGCTTTTTAAACGTTATCTAACATATTGCACGTAGGTTTTAATAAAAGTATCACGTATTTCACGAAAAAATGCTTTTTATAAATTTGAAATTAATTTAATTTAAAATTTTACCTAATTACAGAAAATTATATCATCCGGATATTATCATAATTTAGAGATGATATAAATTATTATTAATTTATAAAATCAAAAAATAAAACAGTAGTAAAATATCCAATAATATGCAATCAATAATTATATCTAAATTCTCTCGCGTGGAAAGGAATTTTTATGAATTAAAAGTCTCTCTCCTCCTCTTTTTCTCCTGCACGAATTTTATCATTTTCGATGAAAGGGATATCAAAAAGTTTATATATTTTATTTTCAATGAGCGACCAGATAACGTGCATAATGATAATCCCGAGCTGAGTTGGAAATTTATTGGCACTTGCGAATTGCAATTGGGTCCCGGGGTCCTGTATTCTCTTTTATTTCGAGAAACGTCAGACGATAAAAAGGGGAAAAAATTAACGGTCGACCTATATCAACTTTAAATCAGATATCGAACCGTGCGCTAGAAAGCAAGCATAAGAGGAATTTATATTAGTGCCGT